CCTATTCTGTTGATAATTGCATGAAAAGTTACAGTACTCCAAGCTGAAAGCAGATTGTAAATGGTTACATTGCGTAAGTAAATCTGTTAGCTTGAATTAAAATTACAAATGAGCCATTTTAATATACTACAATATACTCTTTCCAAAGAGAATCTGTATCCATGGAGTTAACGGAATCTTTAAGTTTCTGTTAGAAATTAAACTTTGGCAATTTTAAAATCTTACATGAGGACAGAGCTTAATAATGTATTTTCCAATACAGAGGGGGAGAGAGTTGATGCCAAAATGAAACGACTAGAATCCAAGTATGCCCCACTGCATCTTGTCCCGCTGATTGAAAGGCTGGGGACCCCACAGGTAATGGATGCTATGGTTATATGCTAGGGTTTGTATACTGGGTGGAAATTCACATCAGGCCAGTAGAGAGGTTGGAAGCAGCCAGAAGTTATTGTGAGGTTAAGACCGTTGCAGGAGTTGGGAGGATTAGAGATGGTATGCAGAAAAGGCTTAACATGTATCTCAGGAACAAAGATGTACTCATATGTTGTGTGCTTTCATACTCTACCCTTTCATGAACAATTGTTATTTTTTTTCTTCTTTTTTCTTTTTGAGATAGGGTTTCTGTTTCTCTGGCTGTCCTGGAACTTGCTCTATAGATTAGGCTGGCCTCAAACTCATAGTGGTCCACCTGCCTCTGCCTCCTAAGTGCTGGGATTAATAGCATGCATCACCACTGCCCCAAAACTTTTTAATAGGGGTTCTTAGAAGAAACTGTGACAAAAGGCAAAGTATCAGAATGAAGTTTACCTTAGATCTGGCATTTGAACCGGAGTTTTTGTTTTTGTTTGAGGTTGTCTTATGGACTCTCTTCGGTGGCATTGCTGGCTTTTACCCAGGAGATGCCAGTAGATTTTTTTTTGTGACCACTAGAAACGTCTTTGGGAATTGTCATGTGACCTGGAGGCAAACTTGCTTGCAGTTCCAAATGGCTGTACTTCACTCTTCTAGACTTCCGTATTTTAACCTTTAGAATATAGGTAATAGCTGATATAACCTGTTAATGCCAACTTAGCATGTTCTGTCTACTGCAGAATAAGCAGACTGGCGGGCGTTTGTTTTTAGCCCTTCAGTATTCTATCACGGCTTGTAATACTCCATGTACCTTTTGCAGCAAATTGCAATTGCAAGAGAGGGGGACTTGCTGACCAAGGAGCGGCTCTGCTGTGGTCTGTCCATGTTTGAAGTCATCCTGACACGGATCCGGACCTTTCTGGATGATCCCATCTGGCGTGGTCCCCTGCCCAGCAATGGGGTCATGCATGTGGATGAGTGTGTGGAGTTTCACAGACTGTGGAGTGCCATGCAGTTTGTTTATTGCATTCCTGTAGGGACACACGAGTTTACAGTGGAGTAAGTGTGTGTGCTCTGTGACTCTTTGGAAGAGTGGGAGAACTGGCAAGGGAGGTGGTTGCTGAAAGGAGTGTGAAGTCAGTACAGATGTAAAACTTAGAAAGTACACAAAACATTCTACTGGTTTAATGCCACTGAGGTGTGGCTCCTTCTTTGATGCCAAAGAAAGGATTTAGTATGAGTGTCTGGTAATTATTTGAATCTAAAGTAACTGAAAGCAAATTGCACATTCCTGTTTCTGGGTGGCAGAACCATAAAGTTATTCTCTGCAGGTCTGTGATCCATGAAATAGCATGCTAGAGGAACCCAAAATTGGCATTATCAAAAATTTGAAAATTTTTTGTGCTCGTCTTTCTCCTATCTGAGAAACTGTGGACAAAGGAACTAATGTAGCCTGATTATTGTCCTTTGGAGACACTCATGAGCATCCACCTGTTTGTTCATTCTCCTTCTTGCTTGGTGCTTCTAGGCAGTGTTTTGGAGATGGGCTCCACTGGGCTGGCTGCATGATCATCGTACTTCTTGGACAGCAGCGGCGCTTCGCTGTGTTGGATTTCTGCTATCATCTTCTCAAAGTTCAGAAACACGATGGCAAGGATGAGATCATCAAAAATGTGGTATGTGGACAAAATCTTTTACACGTTTGTCTAGGCGAAGAATGCTCATTATCCTAACGTAAAATTCAAACATAAACATACTGCAACAAAACATAACCCAGAAAGGTTTTTTTTAATACTATTTCCTTTTTCTTTTTAAGGTAATTCGATCTACTTACCTTACCTGCATTTCCAGATTGTTGACACACTATTCTAGTCTTCTAGCTTCCAAACCATGTGGTTTTTAAATTGCTTTTATTACCTTTTTGTAATCTTACTCATGTTCTCAAGTGTTTTCCCTTTAGAAGATTATTGTTAAACTTTCTTCTGCTTTCCATGACTTACTGCTGTATTAGTTTTCAGTTGCTCCCAGAACTAAACACAGTGGGTTTAATTGATCATCTCACTTTTCAACATCTCCATAGCTCAGCTGATTCCCCTGCTTAGTCTCACAAAGCTAAAAGGAGTGTGTTTTCCCTGGAGGCCTTGAAGGATGAATGTGCTTTCAGTCTCCTTTTAGTCACTGGCTGAATTGTAACCATAGAAACAAGGTTCAGTTCCTGCTGTCAGCTCATTTCCTCACATGCTTTCCACATGGCCCCTTCAAATGACAGGGCACCACCCACTTGACCACATCCTTCCTGTCAACTTAGGAAACTTTTCTGCTTAAATTATTAGACTGGGTTTGTATAGACAATCCAAGAGTTCTCTTGAAGTCACTCAAGACTATCCATAGGTGCAAAGAAATTCAATGTGGGCATGTGTGAATGGTTATTCTAGTTTCTGTACCTCCTTTATTGGCTCTCTGGAATATAACCAGAAAATTTTCTTCTGTTATGTCTTTGAGATAACCAATTCATTTCAGGTTAAGTAAGCCAGAATTTTTACTTTCAAAATTCTTTCTTAGTTTTAATTTGATTCTTAAAATCTTGGCGGGTATATTCAAATTATAATGTCTTGTTATTTTATATAACACATTATATATGAAACACATATTTTCTGATAATTGAAGGCCTTGGAGTCAGACATTTAAGACTGGCATTCTTGTGTTACATGACAAGCTTCTTTTTTGTTTAACGATTGAAGATTTGCTGTGGTTCACTGTCACCCTGGGTTATTAGAGCTTCCCATTAAGTCTCCAGCCTATTCTTCATTCCAGCCTATTCTTCTCACATTTACCTCCTGTGTGGGCAGAACCAGCAATGCTTTCAGTTCTGTTTGTCATCTTTATCCAGACTTAGAAGATTCAAGCATCTTCTCCATAGACCTGTTAAACTAACATCTTATTAACTTACACTATCTGCATAAACACTTTATTATATATATTAATATATATTAATAGTCCAGCATTTGGCTCATAGGTTCTTTTTCTTTGTTTGCTTTTGGGTTTGAGGAAAGGGTCATCCAGCATGACCTGGAACTCACAATGTACCCAGGCTGGCCTTGAACTCAAGTAAACCTGTTTCATCTTGAGTAGTAAAATACTGACATAAGCCACCTCTCCTGACCAATAGGCAACTGATAAATGATTGAACATGTTTTTAAGTTTTATACTTAGCAATACCAAGATTACAAGGTGAATTTAAATTGGAAATGTTTTCACTATTCCAACTGTGATATTAGAAAGATGGTAGGGGTCAATTTAATTTTCTGTAACTTTTCTGAAGTAGAATCCTTGAATTTTAAAGTACAATAAATACACCAGTCTGATCTCATTGTAGCCATTGAAGAAGATGGTGGAGAGGATTCGAAAATTCCAGATTCTGAATGATGAGATCATCACTATCCTGGACAAGTACTTGAAATCTGGCGATGGGGAGAGCACACCTGTGGAACATGTACGCTGCTTCCAGCCACCCATCCACCAGTCCCTAGCCAGCAGCTGAGGGCTAAGCTCACAGCACCCCAGTAATGATGGCATGTTTGTCTTTATGTAAACTATATTGAAATTTTTAGGGGCTATTTTCCATTATGTCTGAACATACTTAAGGGGGTACTTTTTGATCTGAAAGCTTAACTTTATAAAACTTACTTATTTTTCTATACTAAAATTGTATATGCCTTTGGAATTGGGAAATCTGAGAATATGGTTACTAGTTGTTGCCAGTATGGTCTTAACAAATATTTTCATGCTGAATATCCCAGTAGCTAGTTATAAAATGCTAAATTCACTCATTATCCTGTAAGAGCATAATACCAACTAACTGTATTTAAAAAAAAAAAAAACCCTACCAATTACTTTTAAATTTAATGACTAGCTTTGTTTAGGGATTTTTCTGATGACCTTTTAGGAAATCTTTTCTAAGTCACTGTTCCCTTTTATGCCAGATAGTAAAATTTGTTTTCTCTGTTCAAGTAAATCCAAAAGTGAGTCTGATTTGTGAGGTATGACTTAATGATTAGAGAAATAAAAATTAATGCAATCTGTTTGCCTTTGTTCATTAGCATGAGATGTATCTATCCTTGTACATACCCACATTTCATCTGATGTTTTCAGTAGGACAAGATCATGACATCTTTCAAATATAACTAGAACTTAACATTCAGGTGTGGGCAGGGATATAATGAAAGCCAGTGAGATGTAAGACAACTGTGTCATCCATAAAGGACATGAAAGGAACACCAGAACTTCTATGGTATGTGCATCTACTCTTTGGGGCCAACAGATTGGGGGATGGGGCAGTTACAGTGAACACTGCAAAAAAGGAACTGGGAGAAACCTGACCCTAACAGCTCTCAGCATCCCTTCTCAATTGCTGAGAAATTATCTCACTATGCCAAGTGAAAAACAAGAACCCAGTTTTGCTCTACTATCAGAAGTATGAAAGTGGAGAGAAATTGAGAATCTGGTATAGTGATGTGCCACTCACATCCCAGCTACTTGGGAAGCTGAGGAATAAAAATCGTTGGAGCCCAGGAGTTCAAGGACAGCTTAAGGAACATAGTAAGATCCCTGTCTTAAAACCAAACATAAAGAGAGAAACGTCATTGGGCTGGAAAACACCAAAGTCCAAAAGCTTTGAGCTTTATTTTACACAGAAAATAAAACACAGGTACTATTCAGCTGTACTGTAAACCTGAGTTACATTTTAAACAAGCCTATTTATCAAAAAGTTACCTAAAATATTTTTGTTGATATGAATAGTCATACTGGCATCTGTACTGACCCTATGAAGTGTAGATTTTAAAAGTTAACAATTATATTACCAAGTGATAGGCCAAATAAAATGCTTCCGTACAAGATTACGTACGTATAAAGTGTACTTACAACACACACATTCTCAATGAGGAAACTTTTCACCCCCAAGGGAATGAACATTGGCTTTTTTTTATGTGCAAAATAAGACAGATACAGTACATAAAACAGACATAAATCATATCTGTGAGGGGGAAACCTAGTCTCTCGGCATTTAAGTTATATAAGAAGACTCAATTTTAGAACACTTATGTAGAATATACAAGGTCCTGTGAGTGATACAGAGTATGGCCCAAAAAGGGAGGCAGTCAGAGGAAAAAAAGGCAAGAGTCCTTAACAGTGCCAATTAATAGAACACAAAACCAGTACTAAGCCACTCTACAACCATGGGCAGGAACAGGTAGCAGGCATATGCCCAAAGCTTAGTTCTTCCTGTCAGAGAGGGGTAGGATGGAGGGGGGTGATTTTTTTAAGCTAATACATGACTTTGAAATGGGCAGGTCTGAAGTTGGAAAATGTTCTTTACATTGGCCTAACCTTTTTCCATTTTTCTATAAACATTTTTTCACAGTTTCTAAAAAAACAACCAAAATACAAACTCTGAAGCAAAATAAATCACTTGGTTCAAAGAGACCTATTTTACAAACATTTTAAATCTAAGCATTTAGAATCAGAATAAAGACTTTGTTCCAATTTGTCATTTTATGCAAGAATGAGTTTCTAAATTTAAGAAGCCACAAGAATTTCTGTTGACATCCCAGAGTTGTTAAGGGCTGAATGACAATCTAATCCATTCTGAACACACACTGAAAGGTCCAAGAGCTCACAAAAGATGACAGAGATCCATTCACTATGGAAACAGCAAGTACTGACTGATAGCACAGTGGGTTTTTCCAAAAGGAGGCCAGCAGATGTGTGTGGGAAACCAGATGTTTGGGTGACCAATCACCACCTGAGAATTATTTTCTTGGAATCACACACATATATCTTCATAATCAAAAAGCCTTAGTATGATGAGGTACTGATGAAGTGGGGATCACAAATGTACATTTTAATGTTCATCACCAATGGAAAAAATAAAACATTTCTATATGCTTAAAACTTGTCATTAGTGCATTTAAATTTCTGGAGAATGAATAAAAATGTAAAATATCTTTACAATAATACAATGTTATTAGAAATTAGCCATGTACTGAGGTCATATTAGTGAGCTACCATTGTTTAAATATAAGAAAAGTAATTTCTTGATCCAAATTAGTGAAAACTTAAAAAAAGATTGTCTTTAGAGGACATTATTTAAGGATAATTTTTTTCAGATACATTCTGATACTCAAAAATCACTTTATAACAGAATTATAGGTTTAACTTTTCAAACATATCCTTAAAAAGATGTCAGATTTCCATTTCTACGGGAGATATTTTCACCAGTGTGTTCGATTCCACAGGGTAAGTCTTCTTCATTATTATTAAGAACTTCATACATATTAGAAAGATTGCCATTCATTGCCTTTTCATCTTTTCGAAAAGATACCGGCAGACTTGCTAGACTAAAACTGACATCTTTAAAGGCATGCAACAAAAATATCCCCACAATGATTGTGAAGAAGCCACTCAAAGTCCCAATGACATCATCAACAGGCATATCTTGCCATTCTTTAAAAAGAATAGCTGAACAAGTCAAAACTGAAGTTGTAAAGAACACATAATATATTGGAGTCACAATGGAAGTGTTGAAAATGTCCAGAGCCCGGTTTAGGTAATTAATTTGTGTGCTCACACAGACCACAAGGCTAAGCAGCAGAATCCAGGCAAGAGGATGCCGCAGAACAGGCTTTCCAGCCAACAACTCTTTTATGGCGATACCCAAACCCTTCACACAGGAGACTGAAAATGCTCCAATCACAGAGCAGATTGTTATATACACAAGAATGTTTGTCTGTCCATGTCGAGGTCCCACCACAAAGATGAATATCAAGGCCACAATGACCACAAATGTTGCAAAGACCACAAAACCTAGAGGAAGCAAAGAAAAGCTATATTGAAACAATGCGCACACAAACTCAACAGGAACGGTATATGTATCTCCCAGTACTGCATCCTCAGATTTATCTTGCCTATAAAACTATTTGATGGATTCATTTTGAAATGTTAAAGAATTTGTAAGTTACTAGTTGAAGGTAACTCCAATTCACACCGAAGAGACACATGACTCTAAGAAAAATAATTCTTGGTTGAGGATTTAGCTCAGTTATAGAGTGCTTGCCTACCAAGCGGAAGGCTCTGGGTTCGGTTCTCAGCTCTGGAAAAAAAAATAATAATTCTCAGGTGGTGACTTTTCTCTTGCTCCTCTAGCAAAATCTCACCTATACAAATACATCAGAAGTACACACTGGAGGGCTGGGGACAGAGTGCAGCTGGCAGAGTGCTTGCCTGGGATGTGCAAAGCCCTGGATTCAATCCTCAGTACCACTTTAAAATAAAAGTACACAGTCTAAAATCTAAATATGCTTCATAGTATAAACAGAAACTTACCACTGACATTTTTAATTGTTTTTTCAACAGAGGACTTCTCTGCATACCCTGGTTGTCCTGGAACTCAATCTGTAAACCAAGCTGTTCTCTACCACTTGAGTGCTAGGAATAAAGGAGTGTGGCAGCACCACTGACACGTTAAATCACAAGGCAGGGGGAAATGATAATCACAACAGGGGAAGGAGATGCCAGTGTAGACTTAAGTTCAGAAGTGCCCTTGAATGTTCATCTCTATCTGCAAAAATCAGAAGTTATAGCCAAGTGGTGGTGGTGTACACCTTTAATCCCAGCACTCAGGAGGAAGGGGCAGGCAGATCTCTGAGTTCAAAGCCAGCCTGGTCTACAGAGTGAATTCTAGCACAGCTAGGGCCACACAGTGAAAACCTATCTTGAAATTAAAAAAAAAAAAGTAAGAAATATAAAAATCAGTATTATGAGTTGTTTTCTTAAAAGGGACACATCTGGAAATAAATATAGTATCAGGATAAGCAGCAAGTCAACAAGAGAACTTGAACACTGTTGGGGTTTTGGTTGAGTATGGAGAATAGTGGTATGCATCATAGCTGACAACTGTATAATTATGTGCACCAGCCACAGTTCTCAGCAATTCTCAAATTCTCCACTGCAGATAGTCCGTAAATGGCCTTCTGCATCTGAGGATGAAAAGAGAGGAATTGGGGAGGCACAGTAACCCTAGCACTCTGGAAGTAGAGTCAGAAGCATGTGGAACTCAGATTGTCTCTGGCTATAGCAAAAGTTGAAGGCTGGCCTAGGCTACATGAGACTTTGTCAAAAAGAAAGAAAACTACAAAAAAGAACAGGAAACAAACCAAGGCTAAGAAAAGCCAATCTACTTCTTCAAACTCCAACAAATAACAGGCTATTTAAAGCAGACAGAAACAGGGAAAGACAGTAATAGATATATTTCTGAGTATATTGTAAGTACAAGATAAGTCAACTACTACAGTAAATCTGAGAAAACTGAATCCTGAGCTGGGCATGGTGGCACACACCTATAATCCGAGCACTTGAAAAGCAGAGGCAGGTAGATCTCTGTTAGTTGGAAGCCATCTTAGTGCATACAGAGTTCCAAACAAGCCAAAGTTACATGGTGAGACTGTCTCAGAAAAAAAAAAAAAAAGTTGGATTCTACATGTTGCATCAGAATGTGACTCAGTAGAACACTCACACCTCCTGTGGAGCTGGAGCGGTATAAAGGTGAAAGGGAACCAGATAACTGGTTCAAAGTCCACCTAGGCTGTCTGACGTGCTTTAGACAACTTAAGAGTAGAACCAGACAAGGAGAAGAGTTCTAAGAGGAAGTGATGATTTCTTCAGGATAATTACGAATAACTAAGCAAGTAATAACAATCGAAGTAATTTTCAAGATATACAAGAAACCTCCATAAGCTGGGTAGAGTGATGCACCTAAAATTCTAGCACCTAAGACAGTGCGGCAGGTACCAGGTATTGGTGGCCAGCCTGGGCTATAAAGTGAGAGCCTGTGAAAATGAGAGAGAAAGAAGGAAATAATCATAATGTTTAAGAATAAAAGTTTTATTGTAAGGGGAATATAAAGAAATATAGTAAACCTATATAAATGTAATAGGTACCAGATAATGACTATGGTCAAAGAAATAGCAGTGATTTAAGCATATTATTTTGAAATTAAAAACATAATTAAACAACAAAAAAAGACAAAAGGCTAGGGACACATGAGAACCATTTCTTATAACCTGTGCAAAACAATTCATCTATGTACACACAAAATCAATATTAAAAATAAAATTTAAGTACAGTAACATTAATGAGGCTTTTCTTACCTGGATCACCTAACTTATGAGACATTTCATTTAAGGTCTCAATCTCTTCTTCCTTTGGAGCATGAATGACCATAACTGTAGACCCTAGAATACTTAGCAAACACCCAATTTTCCCATGAAGATTAAGTCTTTCATTTAGGAAGTATGAAGACAGAATGGCACTAAAAGGAAGAATAAAGGTTGAACATTTAAATTAGCTCTTTTCAAACTTTTAAATTTAACAGACTTGCAATGTACAATCACAGAGCTCACACAAAAATATTTCTAGCTTTTTGACAAAATCATACAACTGTAATGCGGTCTTAAAGTTTGCTTAGCAAGAAAGCACTGTCTCTTCACCTGTATTTGTGAGCATTCAACTAGCAGGATAAAAATATGGCCTCTGCCTCCATTCTATACCCGTCTCCTTTGCTCAGTAAGTATATTCTGCAATCACCCTCCTAATCAATTAGCCTGACTGACACTGCTTGGCTGTGAGTACTGTGGCTTGCTCTCTCTCTCTGTATCAACTGGGAACTCATGTTAGTACCCCAGGAGACACTGTAATGAAGTACTGCCCCCTTGCCTTTCCAACATACTTCTTATACTTTCTCCCTTGTCTTTTTTACTGCTTCACTCTTAGACTGGCATTTTTGTATGAGTGCAGAATCTAGTCTAGGACCATCAGAACTGTTGCCCTAAAGCTCCTAGAACAAAATGAACCACCTCCTTCATATACACTGAAACTGTGTATTTATCATCTTTTTACTGTAAGACTCCACATGAAATATCAAGAGATATAATTTATTCAGCCTAATTCTTAATAAAAAAAAATCTGTATCCAAGTCAATGTTTCAAGTTTACAAAACTTCAATGTACTAATGTTTGCGTTCTTTTTAAAAATGACATTTATTTATCTCCCCTCACTCTCGTCTTCTCTCTTTTCTGTCTCTGTCTCTCTTGGACTGTGTGAAGATGAGAAGACAACTTCTGTAGGTAGGCTGTCTCTCTTCTCCAACCTCAGCAGTGAGTGCTTTTACCTGCTAAGTCATCTTGCCAGCCCTTATGTATTGATTTAATTGTGTATGATCTGCCTACAATCATCCTAAGTTATTTGGAAATACAGAGTCAATAAACTGTAATCTGAGAACATTTTAATTATTAATTTGCCTATAAACTGCAAAGTTTTTTATAACTTATAGTTAGTTTTATTCAAACTTAAAAAGAAAGTACAGAATAAACAAATAAGATCAGAGTATAATAAAGGAAAGTTAAGGATAAAAACATAATCATATTTTATAATTTAATAGAAAGGGCAACAGAAGCTCTCAACTTTCAAAATAGTAATAAAAACTCAGACTTCAAATAGGCTTAACTATTTGGATTAATCATTATAGTAACAAAACAGGACAAGTTTTAAGCTGGTCTTGCAAAACAAATACCTCATGCCAGTCTTTTTAGAGGTATACAACCTCCCTGCCACCCCACTCCTAACACTTGATGTTCTATAATAGTTAATAAATCCTACCTACAACAGTGTATGTATACTGAATGGTAAATGTTAAGATGAGGAGCAACATTTCTAAAGTTGAAATCACTAATATGCTGGTCCTGGATATAAGCAGAAGAATAAAATGGTTTTGTCCCACAAATCAATAACTATGAAAGAACACTACTACAGATTATTTAAAAATCCTCAAGGGTGTTCAAGTATATTGACATATAATCAGCACTTTAGTATTTTACAGACTAAAATAGCATTTCTCATGTGAAATACAGAGTCTTACCTTACGAGGACGCTGAGCGCACCTAGTGGAGTTACTAGTGTGGCCGGAGCAAATGCATATGCAGCAAAATTGGCCACTTCACCAGCTCCCACTGAAGAGATGAACAATAAAAACCCACCTCAGACAGGAATAGACTCAATTTGAAGATGTCTGCATTTTATGTAACACATACCTAGTATTTCAACTATATTGTTGTTCATAACTTCCATATCTTCTCTCATCTAGGTATGAGTGCTGTAAACTACCAACATCTGTTACCAACAAGCCAAGTCAGTAAATGTAATTAAAATCAATAGTTTTAATGTGAAAGATATAATTTATGTATAGGGTATTAATAGATTTGTAAACTAGGACAACAAATACACTTTTAAAAAGCTGACACTGATATAAAGGTAAATTTCACAAGTTTTTCTGGATCCTTTTTTAAAAAGCCAACCTTTTTTTATTTTTACTTTTTGAGATGGTGTCTTGCCAGTTCAAGTACACACTCTCAGCTCATGTTTTCTTCTTCCCTACTCCTTTTCTTTTTCTTTTCTTCTCTCCTTCTTCTCCTCCCTCTTTAATTCCTCATTCTAGGCTACATGTTTTTATTACATTTTTATGAGGCATACAAAGTAGTGTCTTCCACTGCCATTTCCATTCACAGTCCATCACTGAAGAAAGTTAGGTCAGGAGTGCTGTTTATTGGCTTTCTTTCTTTTTAAAAATTTTTACATGTATTTTTATGTGTATGAATGTTTTTGTTTGCCTGTATACATGTACACTACATGTGTTCCTGGTATTCAAGTAAAGGAGAACTTGAGCTCCCCTGGAACTGAAGTTAGATAGCTGTCTATAAAGGCTACACCACAGAGAAACGATGTCTTGAGAAAAAAAGTTTTATCAAGTAAGTGGGGCCACAAGTACACACCATTATGTATATCTGGCTAAGCACTGTACCACTATATCCACCTTTACTTCTTTTTAATATTCAAAAAAGTTTGGTGTAAAACTAAGTGAGAGGACATGCCTGTAATCCTAGCACTTGGAACGTAAAAGCAGCAGGGTCAGAAGTTCAAGATCACCTTTAGCTACTACCTTAGCAGTTTAAGTCCAGCCTAGGCTATGTAAAACCATGTCCTTTAATTAACTAACTAGCTAATTCATTAGTGAGAAATGCTTTCACTATGTAGCTCTGGCTGACCTCGAACTAGCTATGTAGACCAGGCTGGCCTCAAACTTGGAGACTTGTCTGCTTCTACTGGGATTAAAGATGTAACCAACCATACTCTGTGAGCTTCTATCTTTTAAAAAAAAAAGTTTTATACAAAAGATTTTAATATCAAAACTACTGCTTATGGTCACTAAGGATTTACATAATTGCTAAACCCAAAAGTCAATGTTCAATCCTCACTGTATTTACTTTGTATCAACATCATTTGACACCAACCAGAACTGTTTCCCCAAACCCTCTCACTTGGCTCCAAAGGCTTACTTGGTCTCCCCATGTTATTTTGAGGCTTAGTTCCAGTCTCTTTCCTCTTCTACTCCTGAACTCTAAATCTATCTACTCTGTATTTTGAGTATCTTATATTTGGAAATTATATTCTCATTTCCTGATAATATCCTTCAGTCTTTTGGCCTTAAAGAGATAGCAACTCCCAACTTATTGTCACCACCCTGAATGACCTGGTAGAAGTCCAGAGCTGTCTAATTGCCAATCCCACATATCTGCTTAACAATTTAATATAAACTTTTAACATTAATGCACTCAGAACAAACTCCTGATCTCCTCCTACCTGATCTGCGCAGGTCCTTCCTCTATCTTTAGCGTTAGAACAGTTGGTTCTATTGACCATGGCCACGTAAGTCTTCAGTGTCCTTCTTTCATACCATACATTTTAGTCAGTAAGAGACTACACATTTTGTCAGTTCTACATTACAAACATATTCAGAATTCGTTTCACTACAGTCCTTGGTACTAACTTGGTCCATGCTGTCACCTCTTCTTTATACCACACACTTTACTGAAGCTCTCCAATGGCTTTCTATCCAACAAATTCAAAATCCTTTCTGTGACCTAAAAAGCCCAACATTGCTTAATAAATGCCCTCATTTCTCTGACCTTATTTCCTACTGTCCTTATTGTCCTCACTCCCTTACTACTGAACTTCCTTTAATGCTTCCTGAAGTTTTAATATTCTAGCACTAGCTATGCAGCAAATCACTTTAAAGTATGTCAGACTAAAACTAGCAGTTTACTGATATGGTTTGCTGGCCCAGACTTTAGGAAATACTCAGGGTCTTTTTAGAGCTTGGGTCAGATATAAACCAAGGCTGCAGTATCTGATGATTAGAACCATATTCCAGGCACTGGTATGACTGGCTGCTGTTCAGGGATCTCTGTAAAGATAGTTTGGTAGTCTTCACGGCACAGCAACTGGCCTTCTTAAAAAACAAACAATCCAAGAAAAAAGGGAAAAGCTGCACCTCCATTTATGATGTAGCCTTAGAAGCCATACATCAAACTTCCTGGATTCTGTGACCATAGTGGGACAGCACTAATCCTATGCAAGAGAGGATTACTCAAAGGTACGAATATCAGGAGGCAAGAACAACTGGAGGCATCAAAGAGAAGGCTATCATATTCCCAGGCTAGTCCCAGTCCTCAGCAAAGTCTGTAGTTACTATTTTCTTCATTTCAAATGTTCTTTTCTCATACGGCCAGATTCCTCACATCCATTACTGTCTATTACTCAAATACTATCTTTTCAGTAAGGTTTGTCCTTCCTGGTCTCCTATGATAATGTCTGTCTACTTACACTACAATTCATATTCTCCCTTCTAGCTTTCTTTCTTCTCACTATACACACACACACACACACACACACACACACATTTTTTTTTTTGAGACAAGGTTTCTCTGTATAGCCCTGGCTGTCCTAGAACACACTCTGTAGACCAGACTGGCCTCAAATTCACAGAGATCAGCCTGTCCCCCGAGTGCTGGGATTAAACAAAGGTGTGTGCTACCACTGCACAGTTTATGTCTCAGATGTCTTAACAACAATTTCACATTTAAAAAAAAATTAAGTAAGCTTTATTTACATCTTAAGTCTTACTTACATTGGTATTCTGCCTTTATGTATATTTGTGTGAGGGTGTCAGACACCCTGGAACTGGAATTACAGACAGTTGTGAACAATTGTGAACTGTCATGTAGGTGCTAGGATTTGAACCTGAGTCCTTTGGAAAAGCAGCCAGCGTTCATAACCACTAATTCTGTGTCTCAGAGTTTTACCCGAATGTATGTATGTATATACACTATGAGCATGCTTGGTGCCCACAGAGGTTAGAAAAGGGTGTTGGATCTCCCAGAACTGGAGTTACGGATGGTTGTGAACAACTATATGGGTGCTGGGAATAGGGCCCAGGTCACCTACAAGAGCAACATGTGCTCTTAGCTACCGAGCCATCTTTCCAGCCCCCTTCACTTACCTTCATAAAGACAGTAAAAATAAAGATAAAGATAAAAATGTAACACTCTTGAGAAATAATGGAGGAAAAAAAAATCTGATTTTTTTTTCTTTCTTTTTTTTTTTCTAACTTTCAACTGCCAATTTTTTCTTTTCTTTTTTGAAGTGCTCGGGAATCAAATCCTGGGTGTTTTACATGTTAGGCAAGTGCTCTCTATTCCTCCAACCCCCAGCATACACACACCTTTTAACCTACTTATCTGCTTATTATTTATAAAGGCAAAGATATATCAAAAATGTTTTAAGCAGATTAGTTTTTATAAAGATCTTATTATTCGAAATAAATAAGCAATTAACTAAACTACTTTTATAGGTTTCAATCTATTATGAATTTAACTTATAAAAGCAAAATGTTCTAAAATGTGCTAATATGAGCTGTAACAACATATGTAAAGTATTTAACATATAGCTCTAATGTTTTCTTGAAATGTTCTCTATACATACTTGACAGCAGTCCAGCCCACCACAACCATTCTTTAAGATATGCATGTCCTCCTTGACCTGTGAATAAAGAAATGTTTTATTTTTTGGAAGATTATAATTTTCTTGTAAAATATGTAACAAGTATTAATTAATCATAGATTTTTAAAATGTCTGATATGATATTTCTTGGATATTTCATGATTGTCTTGGAAAAGAGATATGAGGATCGTGACTCTTAAAAATGTTTCTCTTTGTACTATACTCTGGAGTTAAAGAACTAACTTAACCCTCCTACTTAGTGTCCTTTTTTAAAGGCAGGTTTAATAAATAAGAAAGATGAATCAACAAAAATTATCAAAGCTGGACAGAGTAGTGCACACCTACTATCCCAGCACCCCGAAGTCTCAAGCGAGATGAGTCCTACAAGTCTGAAGGCAGCCTGGAATACAGAGTAAGCTCCAGGAGAGCCTGAACTAGAATAAGAACCTTTCTGGAGGGAGGGGGATTGCAGAAATAGATCAACTTCAAGTGAGTTAGTCTGCAAAGAGAAAAGGTATTTAGGCGTATGTAGCCCCACCTGAGAAGACACTTCGGTCCTACAAAGACAGAAATGCTCGCAAACTAGGCTGCCAGGAGACGATCTACTCTTTCCTTGACCAAATTAAGTTGAAGAGCAATTGATACTTCAGCCATTGTTCATAAGAAAAAGGTTGAATTTTACAAGCCTTTAATTTAGGAATAGTAACAGGGATGCCTTGAGACCAAGGTTGGACGGCTACAGAAGACAGCTGGGATGCTAGTGTTTTCTCCTTTGTCCAGTAAATCCTAAGAGACTCTGTTTTATGTTTTAGCATTGCTAAATGAGATCTGGCCACTAAGATGGTCTGTTCATAAGGTCCAATAGGCCTAAAATGAAGCACAACCAGGAAGATGGAATGTAAGCACTAATATCTAATAATGAAGGGAATTGTAATGTCCATGGATTGAACTTCAGTTCAATTATACTGAGTACCCTCCAGGGTACTGTAACATATCTGTCACTTGGGGGAAAGAACATACACCATCCAGATCAATTAATGGAAAATGCAAACTAGGAAGACCATTCTTTCCTTTGTTCAATTTTACATCATCAAGAAAAACATCTAAGGCAGAAGTCACAAGTTCTATCACATACAAAATATCCCAGTCTTCAATAAAAGCCTGGTTCTATTCATGGATCACATGTCCTCCTGCACAGACATAATGAAATTTAAACCTTGGAACCTACTTTGGCACTGGTCCCACTCCTATTCTGACAATAACTATAGAAGGAAGCAGTTAACTACTTTTGACAATTTATTTTTCTCATTACAAAACTGGTATCTGATTATCTATTAAATACTTAGAAATCTCTTGAGCAGTTAAATATCAAATATAATCACAAAGAATGAAGACAGTGCTTCTATACTCAAAGAACTTGAGTGTATGAATATATATGTACTTTTTGAAACCTAAAGGACATAACTTACCTGCTCTCATGGAGCCTTTTCTGGCAAGTCGCAGAAGGCCTTTTTTTTTCAAAATGAAACTCCCTCCAATGAAAATGCTGGAGGTCATAGCCAATCCCAGACCAATATAAAAGTCATATTTTCCACGCCCCAGGCTCATTTCGTTAGTTACTTAAGTTCCTGTGAGTGACATTGATCACCAGAGAAACTGCTTGTACTGGAGACAGGATGATGCAGGCCTCAAACCTAAATGATATGAAATAAGGTGAGATTTTTCACAAACTGATCATGAAAGCTCATATACAAATCAAATATTTACTCATTTCTCTCCTCATAAAGGAAAAAAGAAACTACTTTGACATTGGTCCTCTTCCTATTTGTCAGTAACTATAGAAGGAAGCAGTTAACTACATTTGACAACGTATTTTTCTCATTATAAAACTGGTATCTGATTATCTAATAATTGATTAGAAATACATATACTATCTAAACTTAGCACTAAACCTAATTATGTTTCTTCTAATTATGGCAAAAGAGTAGACTGTAATACAAAGTCAAGTTTGGATTAATTTTATAAATTCTGGTTTTGTTTTGTTTTAATTGTTTCCAATCTTAACTGACAGTCCATAATATAATTTTGCTGATAGGAAAAGAACAGAAAAATTAAACATAACAATACATGAATCTAGATTATCAATATATTTATCTACATGCTTAATGATATATTTATCTTCATACAGAGAAAATTTTTTTCTTATACATATATTGTTCTTTTAGAAATATGCATGGGACTAGGTATGGTAATATACACCTGCAATCCTAGCACTCAGTAGGCAGATGCAGAGGGAACTGGAGGTTGAAGCCAGCTTAGGCAACATAGGGAGCCCCTAGACAGCCAAGGGAAAGAAAGCTGTAGGGATATAAAAGTATATGACTAAATATCTATTTAGCCTATCTGGAGACACGCTAGAAAGGGCAGTTTTAGCACTAGTTTGTTAGCAAAGAATGACAGTTTTAACAAACATATCTACTGGGATATGAACTGTAATACTGTTATTCTTTAGAGTACATAAGGACCAGAAGGCTCAGTTCACAGCTGACAGATGGCCCATTTATTTTCCAAATGAGCCAACTCATGGACTTCACTGATGTTAAAACTAAGGTGTACAAAGCAGGAGGAAGGGACATACTTTTTTCCAGCTTTCAGCATCCCACTTTGGGCTTGAAATAAAAATACTCCTTCCTCAACTTCCTGAGTACAAGGTTACAGATCACTGACACCATACTTGGCCCCATAATGTCTCTGTTCAAACAGTTATGTATTAGATGGATGCTGTATGCAATAAATATTATTTTAATCCTCCAAATAAGTGGTGATTTTGGCTAAGTAACTCAGTGGCCAAGCACATGCCTAACATGCATAGAGCCTTATATTTGATTCCCCAGAAGCAGACACACCCATGCAAATGTACTTTTAGTCTTCAATAGGGAGGCAGACAAGAAAGATAATACTATAGCAACAAAACACTACCACACTAAGTTAGTAGCACTCCAAACAAAGGGGAAAGACCAGCAGAGGTTAGTTATGACTCCCATACACTTCAGTGAGATACTTCTCATCCCACTGATTTGGGTCTTGGCTACTAGGCTTGCTCTGATAAATGGGAAAGAAACTGCATGTGGCCAATTGCAAGTTCTGCATCTGGACCAAAAGTCTCCCACACTCTGCTTATGACTTCATACCCCACCATGACCACATGTGATGGTTAGTCTTGGTTGTCAGCTTTACTACATCTAGAATCAAGTAAATGCAAGCATCCAGGCTCTCCTGTAAAGGGTTTCTTTGACCAGGCTATCTGAAGCAGGAAGACCCACCGTAAACGTTGAGTGGCATCATATAGTGGCAGCCCAGATAAACGAACATGGAAGAAAGAAAGTGCTTTTTATCAGCTTGCCTTCTTCACTCTCTCTGGCAAGTTCATATATTTGGGTGTTAGCATGCCTTCACTGATATTACAACCAGCTGGTTTTGTTTTTCTCTCTGGATTTTTTTTCTTTGTTTTTTTGAGACAGAGTTTCTTTGTGTACCCCTGGTTGTCTTGAAACTAGCTCTATGGACCAGGCTGGCCTCAAACTCAAGAGATACACCTGTCTCTCCCTAAGTGCTAGGAATTTAACTAAAATCTAACTACACCATTTCTCTAAACTTCCCTTTTTTCTCTCCAGTCCCTTCCATATCATACTCCCTTTCAAATTAAGGTGTTCTTGCAGAGAACCCAGGTTTGAGTCCAAGCACTGATGTGGTAGCTTACAACCATCTATAACTCACACATCCTCTTCTCACTTCCATGGGCACCAAAGGCACGTTGCAGGTGAAACACTCATACCCATAAAAAAAATTTTAAGCCTCTTTTAATATATATGGTCATTCAAAAAGCTCAGTTCTTTTAGATAATCCTGACCAATACACCTAATAAAGAGCACACCTCACAGAACCTACAGTTTACAACACAGGGAAACATACAGATATGATGCTTATCTCTATATATCTCTTAGACGACTAAAACAGTTCAACAGAATTTGTACAGTAAGTATAAAATTTCCAACATGGGAGCCAAGGATATGGCTTAGTTGTAAAGACCTAGTTTCGATTCCCAGTATTGCACAAAACCAACCCAACATGCTTTACTACATACTTCGGAGCTGCCAGAAAGCTGTGGTCTTACAAGGTCAATAATTTGCTTAGAGCTCAAGTTACTTGTTTATAAACAAGTAATCAGGCATGTAAAGTGTAATAGGAACAATGTAATCCGAATTCCTTTGTGGGCCTTATGGAGATCCCCAATACTGCATAAAAGCTACCCAACACGTTCTATTAACTTGTTTAAAAAATTTTTTAATTGCTTTTGAGGCTCTTATTCTGTATCCCAGGTTACCTCAAACTTGCATTAAAGCTCCAACCTTAGCGTTTCAAATATTGGGATTACAAGGCATGAGTGAGGCATCATGCCCCGTTCTCATCTGACTTCTGAAAAATAAAGAATTGCATGTAGAAACTTTTGTGTGTGACTTAGTAATCCCACATTAAAGGTTTTAAAATACACCTTGATGCCGAAAAGCTGCAGGAATCTCAGGGCAGAAATCACAACCGAATTCCAAAAGCAAAGTTGCCCAAATAGTCTAAGTTAATGTCCATCATGTGAAGTAGAACAGGTCAACAGCAGCATCAATATAACTAACACTCATATCAGTAGTCATCTATATAAAACATTTCCTGGATTCCTCTTTCAAGGGATTTCTAGCCCTCCCTCTGCAGCTCCTAAGGCAAGATGTAAAAATGAAGTTCTAGGTAAAGAGTTTGGAGACTGTCAGGCTCTTAGTACAACAGATACATGTAAGAAAAGAAAAAAGCTAAGATAGCACTCTATGTGCCCAAACACTTGTCACGTCAAGTTTAAAGGTAACTTCCTCATGCCCTATCTGACTGTAACCACCAGCTACAGAGATGAAAACACATGCAGGGAGGAGAAGAGCAGGATTTCTGAACAAGATGGACAACCATTTCTATATACTATCAGAATTTTTGAAAAAGAATTCTGCCTACATTGTTCCTATCACACTCTGCACACCTGGTTACTTATTTATAAGCAGGTCACCTAAGCTCTAAGCAAATTAGTGGCCTTTTAAGCCCACAGCTTTCTGGCAGCTCCAAAGAATGAATGTTAATTGACTCTAAAAAAATTAAAGTTGCCTATTCTGGAGTAGCCATTAATATGTAGTAAAAAGCTTCATCATCATCTAGATCAGCATTGTAATAGAGAACCAAACTGCCAGAGCCAGAACTAACACTACATATTCAGTAAAATGCAATGAGAATGCTCACAGCCTGGGAAAAAGATAAATAAAAAAATCTATCAGCCAGGTGGTGAGGCACACACCTTTAATTCCAACACTTGGGAAACAGAAGCAGGCCAATCTCTGAGTTCTAAACCAGCCTGGTCTCCAAAGTGAGTTCCATGATAGCCAGGGCTACACAGAAAAATCCTGTCTTGAAAAGCAAAAACAAAACAAAAACAAAAAACTATGCAAACACTCTTGTCTCATAACAAGGTAGGTGAAGACTCACAACTGAGGTTGTCCTCTAATCTTTGCATATGCACCAAAGAATACACTCACACATCCCAAATACACACACTCACACACAAATGTTTTTATCTACAAGTGACCAATAAATAGCCAAAAAATGTTCAACATCCTTAGCTATCAGGAAAATGTAAATCTCAACCCAGTCGGAACGAGTATCATCAAGAAAACAATACAGGGGTTGGGGGAGGAATAAGGAAACATATTAATGGAGGTGTAAACTAGTACAGCCTATTTGTATGAAAATACTTCCAAAAACTAAAAACAAGATATGATCTAACTATACTATTTATGGGCCTGTACCTGAAAAAAACTGCTGGCATGCCACAAAATCATCTTTGTATACATGTTTACTATAGCTCTGTTCACAAGTCACAAAATACCAACAGCTGGTGCCTATCAACAAATGAACAGTGTCAGTGTTAGCTATCCTAGAAGTCAAGAGATCCACCTGCCTCTGTCTCCCAAGAGCTGGGACTAAATGCATGCGCCACCACTGCCCTGCTTGGCACAAAGATTTTTAAGAGCCAGAAGTGCTCCAATGACTCCAGGAAACAGCATCCTTAGACTAACAAGGTTAGTATGAGCTATAATATGAGCTCACAGAGACTGTGACAGCACACACAAGTTCACCACACAAATCCCAGCACTGAGAAGGAGAAGTAGACACAAAGCCTCATTCCTACCCAAGAAGCAATTTATAACCAATCCCTACTGGGAAAGAGAAAATCAGTTTTCTCCAATGGAGTAACACTGGATATATCAACCACACTCCAGGAACAGTTAGCCAATGCAAATGGAGTCCATGGTTTTGCTTTGTTGTTTTAAGAACGAATTAAAAAAAGAAAGAATGAGAGCGTGAAATGGGGGGGGATCTAAAAGAAATGGTAGGGGGGAAAGAATATGATCAAAATATATTACATATTTTAGGCTTTCTCATGCTGTGGTAAAACACTATAGCCAAAAGGCTCTTGGGAAGGAAAGGATTTATTTCACTTGCAGTTCCACATCACAGTCCATCATCAAAGTCAAGGAACTCAAGGCGGGACAGGAACTTTCAGGCAGAAACTGATAAAGAGGCCAGAGGAGTGCTGTTAATTAGC